CCTAACTAAAAGAGGTAGAAACTTGGAAGGGCTTAATTGATTTAATCTAGGAATTAATTGAAAGAAAAATTAAGTTTAGAAATCAAATTGGCTAAAATTGAAAGAATTAATAATCTAGGGATTGGAGTGTAATAGGCACTGAAAGTTGAGGGTCTTAATTGACTAGAAGGGGGAAGTAAAACAAATCTAAAGTTAAATAGCTAATTGAAGATCAAATTAAACCATTCAAAAACTAATAACCATTTTGTAACAAATATTGAACTTTGAATGTTTAAATTAAAAACACCGAAGGTGTAATTGCAAGAGCTTCTAAAAATAGAGTTAAATTAAAAATTGATAAAATTAAGAATTGATTGGATAAGAAAAAAACAAGTCATTTAATATATAAAAAGACGACGTGATATCTAGAAACTTGAACTTTAGCCTTAAAACTCAAATGACATGTTATCTAAAAACCCCGAATAAGAATGACATGTCTTCTAAGGTTTTGATTTGCCCTGGTGATGATGAATAGCATGTTGTTTATTAATAAGGGCTTTAGAAAACATGTCATTTTAAAATTATTATTTATCTTTTATCCATATAAATCAAAGTTCGTCCAATGAGAAGACTTTGACTGAATTTAAAAAAATAAAATCATTACAATAAATTTTAAAAAAGATGTTGGCAAAATAGCCTAATTAAAAAAATAATTAGTGAAATAGTATAATTTGTATATGCCATGATTGAAAAATATATTTTTTATAGCTTACTGTTATTCAAAATAGTGGCATTCAATAACAAATATTAAATATGTAGGCAAATAGAGAGAAAAAAAAAAAGAAAAAACTTTGGAGATGTTAGAAACATAAAAAAAATCTCGATGAAATAAATTTAACTACATTAAAAAAAATGACCAACCATAACCAAGTGGACCATACTTATCGTTCAAAGGATAAGGATGCTCACTTATATTTGGCAACAAGTATGACCCATTCAGATCATTATTGGTGACTTTTCATGATGACACTAATGATGTTATAATTTGAATTTCGGTATGTCTCCAATATTTTTTTCTTTTCTCTCTCATTTGATCCCTTCTCTCTTGCCTATTTAATATTTTTATTGGATATTGTTATTCGGAATAGCAACAAGCTACAAAAGTAATGTTTTTCAATAGCAATATATACAAACTGTATTTTTTTGTTAATTTATTTTTTTACCTAACTTACAAGAAATTTTAAAATTGAATAAATACCTCAAGAATAAATATTGAATTTGTTTTGATATAGGAGAAGCAACCTATTATTTATTTTAATAAAAAGTTTGATGGTGTAGTATTAAACTACTCTACTCATGATAATAAGTTTTAAGGTTTTCAAGGGATTTGGTGTGATGATAAAGAGTTTGAGATCTGCACAGCAACTCTCAAATTCGAGTCAGAGCGTGTACTTTTTATAAAAGCCTTAAATAGTCTAGTTTTTATTAGCTCATTTGTACCTATAAAATGTACTTAGCTTCTTAAAAAAAAAAAGATAATAAATTTTATATTTTAATGAGAAATTTAAAAATTTAACAATACTAAAAACTTAACAGTACTATTTATGGTTGAAAAGATTTATAATTCTATTTATGGTTGAAAAAATTTATAATTCAGTTAGATTATAAATTATTGAAACATTTAAAAAGATAAAATAAGTTGAATATGTAACACCACAGAGGGTTGAATTCATTGAAATATTTTTATATGTAATTAAATACAAGTAAAATAAGAAAAATATAACGGTTAACTTGCTACTAGGATTTACTGAAAACAAGTATATGGTCCAACAAGTTTACCAGGCCAAATCGCAGCCTCACCGGAATCAAACTAGTCTGTATATATATATATCTAAAAACCTGTTGTCGTCGGTTCCTGCTGTAACAACACGACATGAGTAATTTGGCCTTCTCATTATCTTTCAAGCAATCCAACGTTTGGCCTCATCGTTACACCTGGGAACCATTCAATTCCCAAATCCTAAGTCATTTTATGATCAGTTTCGACAGTGATTCTGTGAGGGAACTCATTCTTATGTTTTTAATTTCTACTTCTATTTTCTCAATTTTAATTAATTCTAAAATATTATTTTTTTAGTTTTTCATGTGACGTTGTAGTTTCTCATTTTGCATGTCAAGGAAATTTTAATTAACATATTTAGCGTTTGTGAAGTTAGGTGTGGCTCAATCAATATTAATATATCTTCTCTTCTCAATCTTCGGCTTGTTTGTTTGCACGAAAGTTGTTTCTTTTAGAAAATGAATTCTGGGGAAAGTGAATTCTGGAGAAAATAAATTCCAGAAAAGTAAAGTATTTTCCGATATTTGGTAGTATTATGGAAAATGAACTGGAAAATACTTTCCAGTATTTGGTTATGTTATGGAAAATGAACTGAAAAATAATTTATTAATATTTTATTTTTCTCAAGTTTATTAAAATAATAAGGAATAAATCTTACAAATTAAAAAGTTGAATAATAATGAAATTGAAAAAAAAAATTTCATAAATTATCTCAAATAAAATAAATAATAATCAAAATAATAAAGATCAAATCTAAAAAAAAAAGATGAAGAAATTAAAATAATAATAATTAACATTTCATAAAGTATTTCAAATAAAATAAATAACAATCAAAAGAACGAGAACCAAATTTGATAGAAAAAAATTTCAATAAAAAAATAATAGGAGAAAAGCAAATAACAATTATAAAAATGAGGACCAAAGTAAATATAAAAATTAAATTTTAAGAAATGAAATTGAAAAATAAATATTCAAAACAAAATATATATAGCAATCAAAAGTTTGAGGATCAAATTTGATATAATCAGCAAATAATGACATTTCTAAACTTTTCACAACTTCTGAAAAGTGTTTTCCTTCCAAATTTTTCAGGAAAACACTTTTTTGAAAATCAAGCCAAATTTTCCTTTGACTGGAAAGTGTTTTCCGTTTATTAACTTTCCTAACAGCAAACAAACACAAGAAAGTTTGGAAAGTGTTTTCCCGGAAATCATTTTTCGGAAAACAAACACAGCTAAAAAGGAAAACACTTTCCTGAAAATTAAGCAAAATGTTTTTTGACTAAAAAATATTTTTGTTGACTAGAAAGTGTTTTCCGTTGACCAGAAAGTGTTTTTCGTTGACTGAAAAGTGTTTTTTGTTGACCGAAAAATGTTTTTCATTAACTAACTTTTCTAATGATAAACAAATACAAAAAAAATTTGAAAAATTATTTTTTAAAAATTATTTTTCAAAAAACAAATATAGGTGAAGGGTACATTTTGTTAATGAAACAGACTCTAAAAGGATTTAATTAATCATATATAGTGTAGTTGGTCTCCATTAAGAAAAGCAACCTAGAATAGGTACCTCATGTGCAGTTATCACTTTCACGATACAACCAGACACGTTGTACTGTGAATTAAAACAATATAATTATAAATTTATAATTCTCAACAAGAATCAATGGCTTGACTATTGTATTAAGGTTTCTTTTCAAGGACCATTGTTCATTACAAAATTAATTGGAGGCAACTTAATTTTTTTATATTTTTAAAATATAGTAAAATAAAAAATTATTTTTGAAAGTAAAATTTATTTAATTAATGACTAGAGACTTTTTCAAATTTTTGTGTTTTAAAAGCATAATAAAATAATTAAATTATACTTAGAAGCAAAACAAAATAAAAAATGAAGCAGTCTTTAGGGTTTTCTTTGTATTTTTCATCATTTGTTTTATTTATAATTAAGTTGATTAACATTAATTTGGTGTTTTAACGAGTGGAAGATATATGTGCTCTTCACTCAACATGTAAGGTATCTTTTGATAACCAAATGTCATCTTCTCTCTTTTGATATACAGGTACATGTACATGATAACGCAATAGTTGGGCTCCAATAAATTAGTTTTCTTCTCATCCTTTTTTATTTTTATTTTTAGGTTTTGTATTTTTTTGTTTAAAAATCAAATATATTTTGTCAATTTGTATTTATATCAATTTTTATTTTTATTACTATTTATTTTGCTTTTAATGCCTTTTAAAATTAATTTTGTTTTCAATTTCATTCCTCAAAATTTGATTTCATTTAATTTTTTCTATTGATTTTGGTCCTTATTATTTTAATTATTATTTTTTTATTTTTTTATTTCTTAATTTTATCCCTTATTTTTTATTTAGTTTTTATACTAAATTTAGTCTTTATTATTTTTTTAATTTTTTTAAAAACAGTTATCCTTTGATATTTGGATGATTAAGAATTTTGCTTTGTAATGTTTTTTATAGAGCAATCTTAATCTCATGACTCAACTCATGAGTTTTGAAAATTAGTTTGATTTGACTTTATTTTTTTTAAATTAATTTTTTTTAATTTCATCATCCAACATTAAGTTATTGGATCTTGAGTTTTATGATTTTTTTCTATTTTTTTTTCTTTGAGATTCTCTCAATCTCATATTATAGGTCATAGATTAGTCAAATTAATCCATGTTAACTTGAGGTTTTATTTTTTATATTTTATTAATTAATTTTTTTAATTTTATTTTTTATCATTTAGCTTTTGAGAGTTAATTTTTATTTTTTTATTTAATTTATTTATACAAAGTTATTTTAGTCTCTTAACTAAATTATAAATTTAGTATGCTGACTCGAGTTAAATTTTTTTAGTCTTTTTTAAAATTAATTTTTTTCATTTAATCATTCAACAATTAATTTCTCTTAACAAGGTTATTTTATTTTTATTTAAATTTTATTGTATAGTGTTGACAAAGATTTATTTTTATCAATTAGTTATTATTATTTTTTATTACTGTTGATTTTGTATAATTATATTATTAACTTAATCAAATTAAATCCATTCGTATCAATCATCTAGCTCTAATCTTTTTTTTTTAAAAAAAATACACACATATATATATCATCATCACCTTATTTATTTATTTTTTTTTACAGTAGAAAAAGTTTTCCCGAATCATAATCCACCTACGTGTTACCTCACTAATTGGATACAAATCAGAGCAAAGCCCACGGATCCACTGCCTAATGTCAAGAGTGTTAGCCGGACCGCTCCTTGAAACGGAGAGAGCAGCAGTCTTGGGGGCAACGTCATCTAAATCCGATCAAAGCCACTCTCTTTCTTGACGACGGCAGCAGCCTCTGAATCTCCGACTCCGTCAAAAACGTCCTCTCTCTCCCTTTCTTTGGTTATTGGTATCGTAATTGATTACATCTTTAAAAAAAAAAATAGAAAAAAAAATGCTAAACAAAGTCCAACATGGTGGCTTTCTGATGTAATTGAATGTGAAATCTCTGTTATTCAATTATGTTCTCTCTGGTGGTGAAGCAATTATTTGAAAATCCGTGTTTTGGTCCATGGGTTTCCGTAGAAACCAACAATAAGATTCTTATTCTTTTTGTTGTTTTGGCTCTTTTTTCTCGGCCTGATGTTTTTGCATTTGTTTATGGTATTATATCAGTCCCAGAAAATGTGCTAGCTTTCAGATCCCTGTAACTTTTCTTGCAGTTCAGATTCCAGACTCCTACAAGATGGTTAATGCCACTAAAGGGTTGTTCATATCCTGGTAAATATCTCATTAGCTTAAAACCTTTTCAGCCCGGGAAATTGAGGAATTGTTTACTGGTGAATACATCTCTAGCCATTCACTCTTGGGCTTGTATGTGATTGTTATCAATTTTATAATTTGAAGTCATTCGTTGCTTGTAATGGAATGGCCAGGCAGGTGTATTGCATTTAGAGATGCATATATTTCATGCTCGTGGTGGAGGCTTTTGTTTAGTTTCACCTTGCCTTGCTCTTAACTTTGTTACTGAAGAACGCTTGTCATGTTTATATTGTAGTGACATACCTATGGCACAATTCATCATCAATTTGAATGCTTCGCTACCGGCATCACAGAAGTTCATCATTCATATTTTGGACAGCACTCACATGTTTGTCCAGCCCCATGTGTCTGATATGATACGAAGTGCAATTTCAGACTTCAGAGAGCAGAATTCCTACGAGAAGCCCTCTTAATTTTCCCATCTGCTCCCTCGTTTATGGTATTTTTATTATAAACACTCGATTAGACCATCATACCCATACTTCAGCTCATCAATATTTCTGTTTGCGTTTCTGTCATTCAATGCAAATCAAAGCTTTCTTGTTAATGAAAGGAACAATATAACCTCGGGCAATATCAGATTTAAGTTGGAGCTTACTTGGAAGGGTATGCAGTTGAAACCTGTTTTCCTGTATAGCTCCTGAACTAGCTGGCTGAGCTTGGAAAATGTAGATGGACATGATACTATATATCTATTTTACTGCACCGATTATTTCATTTTTTGATTTTTGTCAAGCCGTAAAATGCTTCTATCTAATCTCGGTAACTAATTCAACTCCATTAAGTTTCGTAGGATACTTGTAACCAGCAACCCATTTTCGGCCTTTTCTCTTCCCTTTATTAATGATTTGTGATATTTTCATACCGATATTTATTTTCTAATTTGATTTTCAATAAGTCGTAGAAATAAGTGAACTCCTGGCCATCATTTGAAAGCAAACTGTGTCTAAGAAGGGGTTTTTTTAAGCTCACAGGGTGACTTGTTGGGCTATACAATGGAGGGTAACCCTCCCCCTGTTACATTATAATTATTAATAAAAAAATATTTGAGATAAAATGCCGTGAATTGCATGGTAGAACATGATGCATTTTTTGCATGTGAAAGTTCATTTTAATTATTGAAATTTTTAAATTTTACATATGTGGTCTATGTAGTTTTGGGTATTTATATCTTTATTTATATTGTATTTCAATTTATAAGTTCTAAGATAAAAGAGAGAATCGCCGGAAAAGAGAGTGAAAAGAGAAAGAATTTGTCCGACTATATTTTGATCACAAAAGGTACAATTTTGGTGTTAATAAGTTTATACTAGAGACTGGAGTTCACTGAAGATGATTTTGCCATGTAATCAAATATTAAAAAGTTAAAGAAAGTGGTTTATAAAAAAAGTATTTTCCATAAACTAATAGAGTTCCAGGCTAAGGAAAGTGGGTTTTTTTTTTTTGACATAAGGTGATTTGATGGGATGTTAGATAGAGGGTAACCCTCCCAAAATACATTATAATTATTAAAAAAAATAGATTTGAGACAATACTGTGAATTTCTTGGTAGAACATGAAAGTTCATTTTAATCCCTGAGATTTTTAACTGTTACATATTTGGGCCATATAATTTTGGGTATTTATGTTTCAGTCCTTAATCTTTATTTTTATCACATTTTAGTTTTTGAGTTCTAAGACATGAGAAAGAAAGTAACCAAAGAAAAAAAAAGGAGAGAATTTGACCATAAAAATGATGATTTTGGTATTAATGGATTATTCTAGTGTTTATGGGTTTGTATTAGAAAATATGGCTTAATGAGAATTATTTTTTTATATAACTAAATATTAAATATTAAAAAGTATCTAAAGTAGTTCTAAAAAAGTTTTTCTCAGCAAATAAACAAAGCTAATGTCTAAAAAGGTTTTTTTTTTTTTTTTCATGTAGTGATTTATTGGGCTATACAATAAAGGGTAACCCTCCTAGATTAAATTATAATTATTAACAAAAACAAATTTGAGACAAAATACCATGAGTTGCATGGTAGAACAAAATGTTTTTTTTTCCATGTGAAAGTTCATTGTAATCTCTAAAATTTTCAACTTTTATATATTTGGTCTATATAGTTCTAGGTATTCATGTTTTAGTCCCTTTTTTATCACATTTTAAATTTTGAGTTCTAAGAAATGAAATAATAGAAAAGAAAAGGAATTTAATCAATCATATTTTAGTCATAAAAAAATAATCTTACTACCAATAAGTTTGTATTAGAAAGTAGAGTTCACTAAAAATAGTTTTGTTTTGTGAACAAACTTTGAAAAGTAAAAAAAGTGATTTACTAGAAAGTGTTTTTAGAAACAAATGAGGTTGATATCTAAGAAGTTTTTTTTTTTCAATTAAGTGATTCATTAGGCTATATAGAGGGTGTTTGGTTATGTAGTTGCTTCTGCTTTTGAAACAACCACAGCAACTTATTTATTTGGTAATGCTCCAACAGTAGATTTTTACTGGTGCGGCCTATTGTTAATTGTGGCACGGCCACAAGTTTGCAAGAAGCAACAGATTGCTGCTTCTTAAGCTAGAAACTCATGAACAGTGGAGCATGTTCCATTGTTCATGGTTTTTTTCCATGAACAGTGGAATGTGCTCCACTATTCCGGCTGGATTTTTAATTGTGGAATGTGCTCCATGAACAGCTAAAAATGCGTTGAATCGGGTCCAATTTTTAATTGTGTTTTATTAAAAAAAATTAGTGTTAAACATTATTCAATGACACTACATAAATTAGACGGAAATTGCTTGATGATATAATATTTACAGAATTTGATCGCAATCTCAATTTTATTCTTGATTATATTTTACCTATGTTGTTGCGCTCTTAAAATATTTAATAGAATAATAAAAAATATTTTATATAAAGTATTATTTATTTCATGATATAATAGTAATAGTTAAATCTATAATATTTAAATTAAAAATCATCAATATTAATATATATTTTTTAAAATTATTTTATAATCTCAATTTCAAAAGTATTCTTAACCAAACATATTAAACTATTTTTTCTTCAATCACAGTTTTAACCAAACATCTATTTTTTCAAACCAACCTCAACTAAAAGTATTTTTTATAAAATAACTTTTTTCAAATCACAACAGCTACCGCAATACCAAACACACTATAATAGCGGATGACCCTCCCAAATCACATTAGAATTATTAACAAAAATAGAATTGAGACAAAATATTGTAAATTGCATGGTAAGATGCGATACATGTTTTGCATATGAAAGTTTATTTTAACCCTTGAAATTTTCAACATTTACATACGTGGTCCATGTAATTGTAGGTATTTATGTTTCAATTCTCAATCTTTATATATATCATATTTCAGTTCTTGAGTTTTAAGAGATGAGAGAGAAAATCATTAAAAAAAAGAATGATCAATCACATTTCAGTCACAAAAAAAAAAAATCTTAGTATTATTGAACTTGTATTAAAAAGTAGAGTTCACTAAAGATGGTTTTACCATGTAAACATGTTAAAAAAATAAATCAAGAATTATAAGGTTTTCATGGATTTTATTTTATTTTAGTTTTTATAGTGATTGGAGGATGTTTTGGGGTTGAAAAACAATATTGTTGCTGTTTATGTTTTTGGGTTCTTTTCAAATCAAGAAAAAATTGAAAAATGAATTATAAAGAGCTAAAAACTTGTCTCCTCTTTTTCATAATCAAAGGTGGCCAAAAATTGTTGCAACAAATAATGCACCGTTTGCTGCCAATTTTTTTATTATACTGGGAAGGAAAAAATGTAAAATCTGATTTTGCATTTTTTAGAGAAATTGTTGTCTCCTCTCAATCATCTCCTTTCTCCATGTAATCCACCTCTTATCTAGTACTTTTAGAGAAATTCATAAAATCTCACTATACTCGATCGAGATCGAAGCACTACCACCTATCTGATTATGATGATTACTACAATAGTTACGATGCTGGAGTTTCTAAGTAGAATGCCAAGTCTGAGGAAAAGAAAGTGAAGCAGAAGAAGCCTGAGAAACCTGAGGTGACTGCAGCTGGAGTCTCCGCTAAGAGGTTTTACTGTTGTTGGATGTAGAATGGTTTAGTTTCGAGGGATATTGTGGCCGTGTGAGATTGGGGTTTCAATGAATAATAATAGTAATAATCCTGAAAGAAGTATTGGGTACCCACGTTCATGATATTTATACATGTAGTTGTGTATTTGGTATATTTTGCACTTCATAGAATATCATGAACATTCAATCTGATAGAAAGAATGCCAGCAAGTTCGTCCTTTCCTTTGTATAGTCTGTCAATTTATTACATTTTGCCCATAAAAGAATGTCAGAATTCATGCAGAGAATAAGATTTTGCACGAGAGAAAGGCCAAGAAGAAGACTTCGTCGTCTAACAATTTGTCTTTAATGAAACTAATGAGCTGGTTGCCCAATGGTATTCGCAAAGACTTACTTGGAGCTCAAGAACAACAGTGAGATCTCGAAAGTGCATACATGAAATAAGAACTAAGTGGGTGAAAAAGCTTTAACACTAAATTAAAACACTAGTTTTTTAAATTTGAGCTCAGTGGTATATATATGGGTGAGATTGCGGGTTTATGGTTGGAGATGGTGGTTAGTGAGGGATCAAAGGGAAGGGAAGGTGGTGGCTAAGCTTGGTGTTTAGAGAAACAAAGATAGGTGGAAGAAGATGGGTCAGGTTTTGTTTATTCAATGACAAATTTGTAATATCTAAATCTTTTTTATTCAATATAAATTTTATAATATTAAATTTAAAAACTTTTTATTCATTGAATAAGAAATAATGGCTAACTTGTAAATAATTAAACAATTTGTGTTGATTTTTTTCAAGCACACTAGATGCATGCAGGATGTATACTTTTATGCACACATTAAAGTTTAGAATATAAATTGTAATTTTTTAAAACTTGATAAATAAATGTAATTTTGACCAAATAATAGGACATGAGTGTAATATACAATAAGTTGCAGGAAAATTATATGTCAATATTCAAAGAGAATAAAATAAATTTTTTTTTTGTTATTGTTATTTTTTTATATAGTATTCACAAATTAATTATTTTTTATTTTTTTCATGCAATCTCATAAAAATTAAGAAAACATGATTTTTTTTGGTTTGAAACTTGCTTTCTAGATTATAATAAGTTTTCATTTTAAAAAAACATACTACTAATACAAAAGACATATTACCAAAAACAAATATAATAAGTAAATGAGATTTTTTTGTCAAAAAATATTTTTTTTCCATCTTAATTTAAACTATTGAAATTCTTGCTAATATTTATTTTAATTACATTGGATTTCTATTAAAAGTGATATTGTTAATATAAAAATCTATTTTCATACATAAAAAAACATAAATAAAAAATAAAGACTTTTACTTAAAAAATACATTTTCTTCTATAGATTTTGAATCCTTAAAAGTCTTATAATTATTTATTTTAATTAAAACTTAATAAAGATTAGCATTGTAATTTACTCTCCAACATTACAGGCCATAAAAATAAAATCTAGTGATAACTAAATAAAATGGAATAATAGTAACTCAAATCTGTTTTCGAAAAAGAAATTATTTGAGGTAACTTAAATCAGTTTTATTTTTCATTTAAAAAGATATAAAATTAATATATTTATAAATTTTAATTAATAAATTTATTTTAGGGTGTTGAGATTATTAAAAAAACACATAAAAAATTAAATTAATATATTTTCAAATGCAAAATCATTTTAAAAACTGACTTTGCACCGCATTTACGAAGATATGGACATTGCTTAAGCCGAGCCTCAAAAGATACGGCCAACATTCGTTGATGAAACGGTTACAATAGTAGCGGCACCATCCTATTCTAAGCACCTAAAATTTCCGCCCAATCCTCGTTCCAAACATCACTTCATCTTCTTCCTGAAAATGGCATCCTCTCTTAATGCGAACCTCAATCAGCCTTCTCTCAGGTTCCATCCTTCTCTGCCTACATAAATATGCAAAGTATGCAACTTCTTTCATCCAATTTAATGTTAATTTAGCTTTTGTATTTTTCAGTTGTGGAACCAAACTTTATTCAGGATTGAAGCTTCAATTTCCAAGTTTGCTCCTTTCCTTCACTCTCTGCTCTTATTCTCTGAAACTATTTTCCCTTGCCCTTTGTTTTCTAATTCCGGGTTTTTTTTCCCTTTGGTTTTAGGTCTGTATGCAACTGGGAGACCTAATTTAACAGCAGAGTTTTATGGAAAGGTTAATAAGAGCCTTCAATGCGGGTAACTAATTTTCAGTTTTTATTTTCAATTACACGATTAGGGGATAAGAAATATTAGCCTGTGATAAACTTTGATACTCTGCATGTGTTTGTGTTAGTGGGTATGGAATTGGAGATAAGGAACACTGATTTGGAGATTCGATAAAAGATAAATGAGTAAATTTGACAAACACTTTATTTTTTGTGTATTGTTGGGGTTGCTTGCTTGGCTTATGAGCTAGGAATCAACATAAAATCTTTTTTAGCTGTTGAATTTCAACTTGATTTCTTATTCATGGGAAAAAGTGATTTTATGGTCGAGACATTGTGTGAAAGCATCCATCATGGCATGTTTCTTGGCATCTTTACAGCGTTCTTCAACTATAGAGAGATTGTATTTAGCTGAAGTTTGAATTAATTTGTTATATTTTGTTGGTATATAAATAAAGATTAAATGTTTGTTTGTCCTTTTAAATGTTCATAAAGTGCAGTTGATCCCTGCTTGATATTCATCTCCATGCAACATTTTGTTTTGGCATGCATGTTTTATGGATGGTACATTTCTCTGTTGACAGGACTCGTAATCATAAACCAACACGGGCAGCAGTTAAAATGATGCCTATAGGGACTCCCAGAGTGCCCTATAGAACTCCTGGGGAGGGAACCTGGCAATGGGTTGATATATGGAATGCCCTAGTAAGTGGAGCACTATCGGGACCTTGTAGCTTTTATTTATTTACTTTAGACAGGTTTAAAACTGACCAAATTCATTGGTTTCAGTATCGAGAGCGTATTCTCTTCATTGGACAAAATATAGACGAAGAGTTTAGCAACCAAATATTGGCCACAATGTTATACCTTGACACAATTGATGATTCCAAAAGGATGTATTTATATATCAATGGTCCTGGTGGAGATGTAAGTCCTTTGCTTAGCAATTCCTCTCCAAAAAACTATGAAGTATCTGCTCTTTTGTATTCCTATTGCCTCTATTATTGTGCTCTTTTTCTGAAAAGCTTCTTATTTGCAGCTTACTCCAAGCTTGGCCATATATGACACTATGCAGAGCTTGAAGAGTCCTGTTGGTACCCACTGTGTGGGATTTGCCTATAACCTAGCAGGCTTTCTTCTTACAGCTGGGGAAAAGGTAATATCTTCACTATTGGAATCTGTATTGATGAAAGTTTTCCTACCAGTACCTAGGGATGCTTTGCTATTGATTTTGGGGGAACATCTCGTAAAGGCTCAAAAAATAAATAATTTAAGGCATCATAGGGATTTGGGAAATTTTTTGTGCTTTAGTGTTTTGAGGGGTGTTAGAGACCAATACCACCCGTAAATGCTCCACTGCTATTACCCACCTGGTCATTGTGAAGTCAAGACAGCTTAAATGTGGTATAGTTTGGGGGAGTGACTCCTCTAACTTATGAATTTGCGAGGTTCGACAGAATAGCAGCAAATATCTTTACTGCCTACACTAAATTTTAGCTTTATCATATGTTCGTATAATTTTGTCTATGAAAAGGCCTGATCGAATTTGTGTAGGGTTTATCCACCCAGGGATATTAAGCTATGCCCCTTCAATTATACTCTTTACAATTCAACAGCTTCATGTCATTCTTATGGTGTACTTTGTATGATTCTTGTTCTGTATCAAAGGGAAATCGCTCTGCAATGCCTCTTTCAAGAATTGCTCTACAATCACCAGCTGGGGCTGCTCGGGGTCAGGTATGAATGTCATCTCTCATTAAAAGTTGTTCTAGATATTATCCATATGTAATTTATTGTACATGTTTGGGATGATATGAAACATGTGACATTTTTCTCACAGGCTGATGACATTTGTAATGAAGCAAATGAGCTTCTTAGAATCAGGGACTATCTTTACAACGAGTTATCTAAGAAGACAGGACAGCCTTTTGAAAAGGTTAGTTTTTGATTTCCTAGTACTTTATTGGTTGATTCATTCTGTGAACTTGATTTATTGTTAGATATGCTATTGGCCACAACCTAGATTGAAATACTAGCTGAACAAAGATGTGCATATAAATTTCCCCTTTAAAAGTTTATTGTGATACTTTTTGCACTAAATAATGTGGCACATCTTAATCTTCTCATCTCACAGTCTATTTTCCCATCATTTCTTTAAACTTGCATTTTTGGGATGCTTGTTACTCTGTCATATGGCCTGCTTCGCTTAAAAACATGTTTTACTACTGAATTGCAGATTAGCAAAGACTTGAGCAGAATGAAGCGCTTTGAAGCGCAAGATGCCCTTGAGTATGGTCTCATTGATCGCATAATCAGGCCACCCCGAATAGATGCTGATGTAGGTCCCAGTGATGCATCAGCAGGTCTTGGTTAGTGTATTTGATGGTTGTTATTAGCCGATGGGCATTATAAACTACCAAAATTTTCTGTCTGCTTGTACAACTAGCTATTTAATTCAGAATTGTTTGAATTTACTAGCACCTTAGTCACAGCTTTTTGAAGGCATAAAAATGTCCAAATTGGTTATGCAATTAAAATGTTTTCAATTGTACCCCCGTCATACTATGAAGGAAGAGGTCTGATGGGTTTGATTTCTAGTTCTACATGCTTCATTGTCAGTTCTCTTAGTCAATTTTCTAAAAAACATGCTCAGCCTAAGAAAATGTATGCATATTGCATGATGAGTAATGCCCGTGTCTCTCTCCTTGTGATTATCACTAAATGTATATTTGTGACGTTCGCTTTGGTGTGTATTATTGTCATGGCATACTTGAGGTTAAAACGCAATCGAAGTATCCCTCTTGATCTGGTTTCTTGTAGCTTAGAAGCTTTACCTTGAGAGTTCCGTGAACTAAATGTAATAAAAGTATTCTACCCTCTACAAGGATTCGTGAAGCGAGTTGAGTAGCAGGTTGCCCAGCACATTTGTTTCATCTGACCAGGTCGTTGGCACATCATGAAGCAATAGGAAAAAAAAACCCCCTCGATGTTTGCTTGATTTTTTGCGTTATTTTATGGTTTTTTGTGAAATATCTCTGAATTTGTTTAAAACGAGAAAAAAAAAATCGGGGGGCTGAAAGACAATTAGTTTATTGTGGATGTAGATGAGCTGTTTAATGTCATTTGAGTGAACTGAAAAAAAAAAAATATTTGGCAACCAAAGTGAGAATTTTAATAGGGCGAAAAAAGAAAAAAAACAGTTCACTGAGTTAATCCACAATGATCTATGTTTTCCTCTAAAATGCAGACAGTTTTCAACACACTCTTTTGAATTCTTCGTAATGTTAACACATTTTTTTTTTAATGAAGATATTGTTGAATGGACTTATTGAATGGACTTAGATTAGATTTTGTTTCTCTAAATAATCTTTAAAACATCTTTTTTTGCATCAATTTGACGAGTCATTTAAAATATTTTTTATATATAAATTGGTTTCTATGCCTATTTGTTTATAAATTGGTTTCGAACTGTACAAACTACAAAGACATATTTGAACTGTGGCCAAAAAGCTGAACCAGTATTACTTGTTAGGGGAAAAAAAAATCTATGAAAGCAGAATCAATAAAAGAATAAAAAGATTTGAAAGTGCCATTACAATTATTTCCAATATTGCTTCCAGTAAAGCACCATTAAGTGCCTTTCAAAAAGAGTAGATGAAATGTTAGCAATGACAATAATTTCCAATCCGAAGGAAGGCAACTCAAGGGGAGGGATAAATATTACATCAGCTATTTTACATGACACAACAGCAACAGGCGCCTACCTAATCAGCTAACTAAAATTCTACCTGAAAAAGAAAATAGGTAAAATCGACATGCCAGTACTGATAAATATTTGATAAGATAACATAAAATAACACAGGAAGGTGTGAAGGTGAGTTTCTAGGATCCGTGGTTGAATGCCGTTGTTGTCAGTGACAAACCTTTTGATGTACCAGTGAGGTGAACCCTATTGCCCTGCTGGCAAAGTTACATTAATGTCAGCCGGCTTGTTCCTTGAATCAGGAGGCAAAGGAGACCAGCTATCTCCACGATGCGAGGAAGATGAGAAGTTGGTTTTAGGATCAGCACTAGATATAGGAATGGCTGCAGTCAGCACGACACCTGATAATGAATCATGCTTCTGTTTCTTTGGCTTCTGCTCATGCTGGTTCCCAGCCAGAAAACTGCCTACTACAACCTAATCAGAAAAAAGACAGCACGTGTCATGAACTCTGTCGAAAACCATCCATGACGATCATTATTTCTTACACAGGTTTAGCACCACAACAGTTTACAGTGCACTGGGATCAAGGAGAAAGAGACAGGAAAACAGTGAAATTTGACAAGCCAAACCTGTACAGGACTTGCAGCTACCAGCAGACCGGCAACTCCACCACCTACAACTCGTCCATCTGGACTAGCTAATGAAACGCTCATCCCACCAGATCTGCTTCTTGTTCCTCCAGTTTCAGTAGGCATAAATGAACCAGATAAAGACAATATCTCAAAGCGACCCTGGAAGAAAACAAGGAAAAGCTAGTATTTCAGCCAATAATAAATTAATAGTGGAAATTACAAAGTACAAGCAACATGAGGTGATAGAATGAGATAGGCAACCAAAAGTCCTAAAGTGTTTTCAAATCCAATATTGAATTGGTGAGGAAAGGCAGTTTATTGTTTGTTTGTTTATTGAAAAGTATTTAAAAAAAAAATCTAGAAAAATAAATTATTTTTTAATGTTCAGTAATGTAATAGAAAATAAATTAAAAAATATTTTTTAATATTTTGTTATATCATGGAAAATAAGTTAAAAAATAACTTATTAATATTTTATTTTTTAAAATTTATTAAAATAATAGGAACAAATTTTATAAATTAAAAGGTTGAATAATAATAAAATTATATATATATATAATTTCATAAATTATTTCACATAAAATAAATAATAATCAAAATAATAGAGACCAAATCTATAAAAAAAAATGAAAGATAAAAAAATTAAAATAATAATAATTAATATTTCATAAATTATTTCAAATAAAATAAGTAACAATAAAAAGAATAAGGACCAAATTTAATAGATAAAAAATTTCAATAAAAAAAAACAAAAAACAATTATGAAAATAAATACCAATGTTAATATAAAAATTAAATTTTAAAATTTTAAATTGAAAAATAAATATTCAAAACAAAATATATATGATAATCAAAAGTTTGAGAACCAAATTTGATATAATCAGCAAATAATATAATATTTTTAAATTTTTCACAACTTCCAAAAAATATTTTCCATCTAAATTTTTCAGGAAAACACTTTTCTGAAAACCAAACTAAATTTTTCTTTAATTGAAAAGTGTTTTTCATTAACTAACTTTTTTAATGAAAAATAAATATAGAAAAGTTTGGAAAGTAGTTTCCTGGAAACCATTTTTCATAAAACAAACACACCCTACAAGTTGAAAGGGCACCAGTAAGAGGAGCAAAATAGAACAAGATCCATTTTACAAATGTTATGTTTTAGATGAATAGCCAACACCAGAACACAAGGATAAAAAGCAGGAGAGAGGATGAAAAGAACGAGGACATGCATGTAACACATCACCAACCACGAGCATTTGTTCCTTTTCCATTCTATAAAGAGTTGAAAGAAAAAGGTTTCGTGATTAGGATTGCCAGTAACTCTTAAGTTAGAATTGCAATCACTTTCATGCAGAAGTGCACCCTTACAGTAAAGAAAGACAGTTGTTTCAGAGAACTAAAAGCTGAGGCTCCAAACACTCATCCGTGAAAATCACGCCATCAAAGAAAGAATGAGCAGGGTTGCAGATACCAATTTGAATGAAAAACCCAAATGAGAATTTTTCAAAGTGAATTTATTATCCCTGGATACTGCCAAGGGATGAACTGATATTGTGGACTGCATATTCCCATGCGCAGAGGAAAAATGATGAAAAACAACACAAAATGAAATGGAATGGCTTGACCTTAAGCATATCAAAGGGAGATGTAAATCATATAGCATGAATCAGAATCTAGCATAAACAAAACAAGATAATTCATAACAGCTTAAGTAGATGACAACATCATTCTACATGAGAAAGGACAAAATGCCTCACCTCATATGTTAATGTGCCCCCAGAAGAATCAGGCTGGCGAAGCGTAACACTAGAGATCACACCATTAGCTGAGAGTATGCATATAGCTCGAGGCCCTTGTTGAGAAAATGATATGACCTTCATTGTGACGTCCTAAACAACCAAAATGATAAATTCTCTTTACATAAGTCAACAAAGTCTTAAAACCTAGGAAAACATGTAAGTCCATATCAGAAGTTATGAAAAAACACTCTCAGGCAAATTCAAAAGGTATGAGGGAATCTTACACAAATCATAGTTTTTAATTTTTATGCCTTGTCTATTTTGGAAATATATGCAAATCCTGATCAATGTTCACAGTGGCTCGAATCCCAACCACTTTTTTCAAACACAAGTCATGTTATGTTTGCATTTATATTAACAAATGACAAAACGAAAATCACAATGTCAATACAGGGCATAAATACAAAACTACACTGGCTATGTTCAATAAATACCTCGCCTGCATTGACTGTGATGATATGGGGAGTAAAATTAGCACCTACAGAGCATGCAACCCATTCACCTAGAAGAACAAATTACCACAGCATCAGAAACCAAGACATGGGAATTCTCCTTCTGCAACAAATTCTCAATTCACAGGTCTTCAAGCAACAAAATACACCTCAAAGGTAATAGGAAAATCAATGCAGAAATTTTAAGAAATTTAAATTCAGAATTCTTACTTTAATAGAAAATCAGGTAAGACATCATATTTGGGGTGGCCTCTTGTCAATAGGAGACCCAATTGATGTGGCATAGAATACATCAAACCTTATGGTGGCATGGCCAAAGAAAAACAATTGCCATTGCCTTCTAAGGTAGCATTACCAATAAAAATATGACATGCCTGCAGCCCGTCAAGAACTTGCAAAATTGCATGATCAAAGAAAAGCCCCATGCATCAATGGCTGGTATGAATTGAGTAACAGTATAAAGATATTTGGGAATCCTTCAATCTCCAGGTAGAAGTTCTCTGTAATGGTATTTAAAGGCTCCTCAACCTGTGGGGCATGGATGTACGTAACTAACTCAAACAACCAGAAGAAAACTTCCAAGCCATCTCATAGCAAAAGAAGAGCCTCTCCAAGTACAGAATCTCCCTAGTTAAGAGAAGAGCTTAATGACCCAATTTCTAAATAATTATGGAAAGCTATTATCACGCTCCAAGCAAATGCAACAATCCTCGGAGTGGTGCAAAACCAATGTAACGTTTAAGCCACTAGATCACTCATAGGCGGGAATCTCCACTTATGGATCAGATTCAACACTGCAACCTAAAAACAGAAAGAAAGAAGGAAATTGAAGCACTGTTGCTGTTGGGGTGGGAAGATAATCGCTAAGAGCTTGGGGTGCCTAGTAGATGTGGTCTCAAGAGTTCAAACTGATGAGTTTTGTATGTGGAGTAATCAAATACCAGGTAAAATGAGGAAGAATTATAGTAAACGAATAATTTCAAGCAAACCCTTTACACTTGATAAATAATATGCAAATTTTCAGCAAACCGGGAAAAAAGGAACCGACTATGACTAAAATACACTGCCAATGGCTTGTTGGAAATTGATGGTACTCCATTCCACTGATGGCCTGCTAAAAATGAAAGGCAGTGCATTTTATGGTCTCTGCTGCAATTTGCCAAAAGTTCTAAATAAGGCAGCAACAATGAAGATAGTTACATAGCTAAATGGAGAACTACAAAAAAATTACTCCCATCTTTTCATATAATCCAGAAAATTTTATTTTAGTAAGCAACCGAGATGCCCAACTCAACCAGAGATGGTAGAGATGAGAAGTCAAAACTCGCAACTCTCTGACTAGATTGTGCAAGATCCCAATAGCCGGGCTCAATCAGGAATATGCTATGGCATTTACTAGTCACAGTTGACCAAAATTCTTATATTTCGTATGATCATGTAGGAAACTTGAGAACTTCTCAGGGGGGAAAGCTAACTTCAGCAAGTGAGCAGCAGCCCACGAAGACTAAAAAGGGCAAGTACGGCAACTAAGACAGGTCAAAACAATAGATCCAGATATTCTTGCATCCAGACCCACTTGGCAGGAAATGATAACACAAGGTAAGAATATAAAAGATAACCAAAAAAAATCCCCGGTAAATAATATCGTAAACAGAACCAGCCATAAATACGATCAAAACATGGTAACCAAAAAACTCCCTCCTTTCTTTTGGAAGCAAAGCGATGACACCTCTCTCTATTCCAATTCTGTTAACCATACAAAACACAGCACCAGACCTTTACCAGGTAACCAACCACAGTACCTACCACAAATTCTTTCCCCAAAAAAGGAACACAAGCGCCAAAATACACCCTCGTAACAGCAAGATTCCCTCGTTACCACACCGACTTACATGCCCTCTTTTCCAAACCCACTACACACACAAACACAAATATCAAGATCTCAACTGAAGCATCATTTCACAGGTCCCACTTTCACAGAACCCTTACTAAAAACCACCTAAATTTCTCTTGCATTAAAACAGACGACTGATATAAACATCAAAGATCCAAACTTTAAACCTAAAACAAGCACAAAAACCACTTAAGCTCAAATATCAAATTTCTCACCAAGATTCAAACTTCAACCACAAAACAAACACAAAACACTTCAGCTCAAAAGGAATCCATAAAATAGACAAATTTATCCATTCGTTACCTAAATTCTCCAGCTCATACTTGGCTTTGCTCAATGGCTTTATTTTCTTCTGTTTCCCAGCTGAGAAATCAATCACCGGTGGCAGCGTCGCCGGAGCCGCCGACGAAATCGGCTTCGGAGACAAGGTGACACTCCCGTCCGGACCATACTTTCTAGGCCTCCCTCTCTTCTTCTTCTCTGGCATAGACCCCGCCGGAGGCGGCGGGTGGGGCGGTGGAGCTTGCGGTGGAGCTTGAGGCGGAGCTTGCGGCGGAGCTGGTGGCGCGGATCCAGGTGTTGAATTTGGGTTGTTGTCGGACCTGGGAGCGATTTGGTAATCTGAGGGAGCACCGGATCCCACCACTGTAACCCCACCACCACCACTAGTACTATTTACAGTTGTTTCCATTCTTAAACCCTTCAAACGATTTTTTTTAATTATATTTTGGACAAGTTTTCCTAAAAACCCATTTTGATTTTGAGCTCAAATCATCTCCAAATATTAAAAAGTCTCGATTTTTCTTGAAAATTAAACCTAAAAAATTCCTACTTTTTTAGAGGAAAAAAAAAACTCCAAAATATAAAACCCAGAAAGGAACAAAAAAATGGAAGAAAAGCTGGGGATGAGCTAGAAGAGAGAGCTTTATACAGGTAGGTTTTAATTTTAAAAAAGAAACAAAAAATTGAAAAACTTGAGATTTTTTTAGCTTAATTTTTGAGATTAGAGAGCTCCAAGTTAAGCAGAAACAGAACTTAACAGGGGTTTTAAGGAAAAAAGCAAAAAGGAAAAGAAAATTTGTGTTTTTATTTTTTATTTTTTTGTAGAGTAAAGAGAGTGATGAGAGCAGAAAGGAAGATTGGATTTCAGCTGTGAAAGTGAATTTAGATTTTTTGAATTAGTGGGGTGGTTTGATTTGGAAAATGGTTTTTTTTTTTTCTGCGATAAAAATAATAGGAAAGTTTGTGTTGGTTTTTAGTTGTTGTTGAGCTAATATTGTTCCTAACTTCCCTAAGTCTGTCCGAAATGGGATTAAGAAAACAATAATAATAATAATGGCAAATCGAAAATATTAAATAATAATAAAAGGCTGGCATTGATGAATATATGTGTGCGATGATTATTGGAGATTTGTATTTCATGTTATATATATTATAAAGATATTGATGTTTTGGTTGGAATCTTGTGGGAAATTAAATAATTTAAATAAAGTTGAAAGTGGGAGGGGTTTTCTTTTCTCTCTCTCTCTTTTTTTCTCAATTTTTTCTCTTTTTTTAATTCTTGATAGGGAAAGTGACAAGAGATGATATTATTGCCATCATTTTAATTACAGTTTTCTTTTCTCTTTTTAATTTTTGAGTGAATGGCAAGTAAAATTAAGCTGTCAAGAGAAGAAAAACAAAAAATGTCTGGAAAAGGGCAAAGAGGAGAGTGGATTAAGGCAAGCATGCCCCTTCTTATGGGGCCTGAATCCTGATAAGCTTCTATCTGTTACAAGCAAAACCCACAAATACACGGTGGTGTACAGTGCTGTAAATGGATAGCCCCTTGTGCATTTCATGCTTGTATTTTTGTTTATTTTTTCTCAAATCCTGGTTATATTTAGAACAGGGGCTAGTGAAGAAAGAGCTTGCAAAGCAACAAAAGATAGTACATCGATGCAATCCTCTGCTTAAGCAAAATGGATTTCATTCTCTTGTATTGTTCCCTTGGCTTGTCAATGATGCAGTGATGAAAGAGATTGACGCTGAAAGCTGTTCTCGTGTTTCTTTATTGTGCCGGGAGCGAGGATGGATTACTAGAATACCAAACCCATTATTTTCTTCCTCTCCTTTAACTGTTGCCATATTTGTTTCATATTTTCGTATGCAAAAAAAAAAAAAAAACCATAGCTGCTGCATGCATCCTTCTGTCAAGAACTTGTCGCCTTTGGGTAAAATTATTGGCTGCGTTATTGCTCTTTATTGCCGAACAGCGATTATCTTCGAAGTGTTTACTAATATTTGAAAAAAGAATATTATAAAGAGAAGAAAACTAGAGGGGAGATCAGATCATAATATGAGCACAATCCCGGCCCTGCCATGGGACCACGAGATTTGACCTTTAAAAATGCTGTTAACGACAGCTTTAATATTCACAAACAAGGCTATAAAGCATCTTTTTTCTGAACTAGGGTTGGATTATCAATTACCAAAAACAAGAAAAATAAATAAACTAACAAGGTTTAGATAAGAACCAATTAATTATTAAATTGCTCGAGCATTTGAATAAATATGGTGATGACCTCGATGTCTATTAACTTCCACGACTTTCTTCTTTGTTTTATTTTTTCAGCTTCTTTTCGCATGCCATGTGTATTAGTATTTTAATTGTTGGTCGGTAATCGGACCTAACTTTTGCATTAATTTAAGTGATGGGATAGAGAAAACTTGATTTAACAATTAAGAAATATCAAAAAATCATATAAATAAATTTCCACTTGAAGTTAGTGGTGCTTGTATTGCACGTCCATGTCAAAAAACGAAAAAAAAATGGAATCTCAAAGGAGATGGAACATTATAAATTAATCTCGTTTTCATGAAAAGAAAAATAACTTGTTTATGCCTTCCTGTACTTGGTAATTATAAACAAGAACTTGTATTATCTGAGTTGCCGGCCCTCCATGTAATGGCGGGTTATCGGCTTGACAGTGTCGCAACTCTTGGAAAAAAATACTCACTGGCAATATATATATATATATATATATATATATATAGATGGATATATAGTTAAATCTAACCTAGTTACACTTGAAATCGTTGCCAAATTTAGACAAGCTTGTGTTTTGGAAGCGTAGTCAATGTAAGTTGAAATAACAGTCAAATGAGGTGTTGCTATCTAGGTTGGATCTTGATGAAAATGTGTTGACTCTAGATTAATTAATGGAGAAAGAGAGAGACACAAGGTTGCTGCTATGGAGTCTAAAATCACATGTGCATAAATCAGGCTTTTAATTTGTAGGGTTTTCACGCATTGATCAACTCCACAGAAAGAAGAGTGCTGCCATGCCCTGGTCTATCCATGGTTTGGCTCCTCGTCCTGCGTGGTGGTAGAGGTCTCAACCCAAAGCTTTTTTAATCAGTTCATGATCTACATCCGAGTTTAATTAATTAATTGTTAGAGACACGATCAATTTCGCAGTTCTTTTTTGTTTTTGGTGAATTAAGATCATTTTCTTTGTTATTATTATTTTGAAAATTAAGATATTATCAAAGTCAACAAACTACTGCTTTGAATGAGAAGCAAACAAATTATAAAAGCCATGAGCTCCCATGACTTGTCCAATTGGTTGTTATTATTATTTTAAGAGCCGTGATTCTACAAGTTTTGTGAGAAAATGCATGAACCTTCAGGCAAGGAAATTAAATTTTCAAGGGCAAAAAAAGTCTCTGATGATTTTCATAAAGGTTTGAGTCCTGCCAAAAACCTATATGGATACGCTGGACGTAATACATGCTGAGAATTGGAAATAGCTAGCTTTGCTGCCTCTCATTTTCTCCTACCAAGATTGATAGCAATTAGCTCCAAGAATTGTCGGTCATTGCTCCATGTGTTCTTGTGTAGATCCCATACTTGTAACTCCATGTGTTCTTGTGTAGATCCCATACTTGTAACCTACGATCACGCAATGGAGAAATTGCAATCTTCGATTGTACAAATGGCAAAGAATGAGCCCACGCCGCCAGTTTGGACTTCATCACTGCAAGCACACCACTTTTCCCTGATAATCCCGAAAGGCCGGTTTGTTAACTGGAGGCCAGCCCAACTTTATTTCCCATTCCTGCCGGTATTGCTTTGTGCTAGATAGGTGCCCCGCGATTTCCCTTGCTAGCCAAGTTGATCTTGTTTGTAATTTAAAACTTTTCAAATGTTGTTAGAGTGTTTAAGAACTCAATTCTCGGTAATTTAATATAGAAGATTAAGATTAAAAAAATTGATTTAAAAATAGAATGAAAAGAAAAGAGGAAAAGAATAATTAAAAAAATAAAGAATAAACTTGATATAAAATAATATAAAAGCATTGAATTAGTCTAAATTAATATGAAAAATCTCGCAACACAGGTCAAGAGACTAAAATACTCTTATAGGAAATAAAATAAAATAAAATAATTGAATTTTTAATAAACTCGTGGGACGGGTCTTTGATTATTGTATTGAATATAAGTCCTTCATGTTAGAAGTATAGAATAAATATCTTTTAAGATGAAAAATTTATCAGGATAAGTGACTATAAAAATAAAAAAATTATATTCTAAACAAAATTTATCAAGTAAATATAAAATGATATTATCACACATTAAATGTTGTTTGGTAATAGTCATCTTGAATGTAAGACATTTGATTGTCATGAAAGAATCACTTGTAGATTAACTTCCTTTTCATGTAATAAAGAGTTGAAAGCGAACCATCTAGATGGTGGCTAAGTGGTAAAGACTTGGGACTAAGGAGTTTGCTCCCTCTATGGTTTCAGATTCGAGTTCTTGGTTGCTCATATGATGGTCACTGGAGACTTACATGGTCATTAACTTCAGGGCCCGTGGGATTAGTCGTGGTGCGCTCAAGCTAGCCCGGACACCCACGTTAATCTAAAAAAAAAAGGAGTTGAAAACGAACTTATATTACGTTAGCATGAGCAATAGCAGAACTAGAATAGGTCAAGACGAGGATTTTGTCCCCTTAATGTTTTTTTTAAAAAGTATTTTTTATATTAAAGTATTAATATAATAGTTTTACAAGGTTAATCTTTTTTGTTAGCTATTAATTGATCCAAACTCTTATTTTTTCATTATTGTCTCTGCCTCTCTTTTTTCTACAAACTTTCTCTTAAAACCCTAAGCTATTAATTAGTTAAACAAGTAACTCATTATGCTTTTGGTTTTAGGAAAATTTCCTTCATCCTTTCTATTTGTTTCGTTATCAAATTTTAATTTTATTTCTTTATAATTAATTTTTGAAAATATTGGGGTTTATAATAATTTATAGGTTTGTTAAATTAATATGTATATGAGTAATATTATATACTAACATATATAAATTGAAATGAGTTTTAATGAATTAGTAATTATTTTGCTATGAATTTCATATAAAAATATAGTGATGAATTTACTAGTTATTAAAAATGAAGTATAGAACAACTCAAAAAATTAGGGAGATAATAAATAAATTAAAAAAATTTAATATTTATATTTAATCAACTTATATAAAATAACAAGTCGGCAAGAACAACATCAATTTGTGACAATCCTTTTAAATTATGATTTTAAATATTATGTACCATATTTCAGTATAGAATTGTTGCCAAAAACTTTTCTAATCTTTAAAAGATTTAGAAATAGATAAATGAAAGTTTGTTATATATATTAAGAAAGATATTTTTAATGAGATTAAAAATAAAATCATTATGAAGTAATTTTAAAATATAAAATCTTAAAAAGAATAATTAATTTTTTAAAAAATATTTTTTTTATTTTAAATTAATATTTTTTTAATATTTTCAAATTATTTTAATTTATTAATGTTAAAAATAATTATTTTAAAAAATTATTAATATATATTTTAATATAAAAAATTATTTAGTAAACAGCCACCGTAACCTTAAATAAACTGAATGAAATTTCGTGAGCAGACAGTTTGAAGATGATTAATTAGACGTGAGTATTATGCAACTCTACTACCATACAAGGAGAGAAGAATACATAATGTAAAGGGTTTTATAAATAGACTATTTATAACCTTCTCCTCTGCATAAGCTATTTGAAAGTCAAAAAATAATATTACAATGTTACCAAACAAATCAGTTAACCTTAGCAAGCAGTTTGAGTTTTGAATTCTATTTCCAACAACGCAGAACAACAGGTAATTAATCATGTTTGAGATATTGGAGTAAATTGTTGTGACTCATCCTTCAAAAAAAAAAAATGATTTAGAGTAAAGGTATAGTTACTGAGCAATTAGTAAAATTTCAAAATTACATTTGATATTTTGTGAAAATTATTCGTATGTTATGGAATTTATTTTTTTTAAAATAAATTTTGTTGAAAAGATGAAACCATTTTTGTTAATATCTTGGTAAATATAAAGAAATCCAGGTTTAGAAAGTCTTTTCTATTGACTAACTTTTCTAATGACAAATAAATATAGAAAAGTTTAGAAAGTGGTTTTCTGGAACTATTTTCCGTAAAACAAACACAACCTACAAGTTTAAAAGGCACCAGTAAGAGGAGCAAAATAGAACAAGATCCATTTTACAAATGTTATGTTTTAGATGAATAGCCAACACCAGAACACAAGGATAAAAAGCAGGAGAGAGGATGAAAAGAACGAGGACATGCATGTAACACATCACCAACCACGAGCATTTGTTCCTTTTCCATTCTATAAAGAGTTGAAAGAAAAAGGTTTCGTGATTAGGATTGCCAGTAACTCTTAAGTTAGAATTGCAATCACTTTCATGCAGAAGTGCACCCTTACAGTAAAGAAAGACAGTTGTTTCAGAGAAAGAATGAGCTGGGTTGCAGATACCAATTTGAATGAAAAACCCAAATGAGAATTTTTCAAAGTGAATTTATTATCCCTGGATACTGCCAAGGGATGAACTGATATTGTGGACTGCATATTCCCATGCGCAGAGGAAAAATGATGAAAAACAACACAAAATGAAATGGAATGGCTAGACCTTAAGCATATCAAAGGGAGATGTAAATCATATAGCATGAATCAGAATCTAGCATAAACAAAACAAGATAATTCATAACAGCTTAAGTAGATGAAAAAATCATTCTAGATGAGAAAGGACAAAATGCCTCACCTCATATGTTAATGTGCCCCCAGAAGAATCAGGCTGGCGAAGCGTAACACTAGAGATCACACCATTAGCTGAAAGTATGCATATAGCTCGAGGCCCTTGTTGAGAAAATGATATGACCTTCATGGTGACGTCCTAAACAACCAAAATGATAAATTCTCTTTACATAAGTCAACAAAGTCTTAAAACCTAGGAAAACATGTAAGTCCATATCAGAAGTTATGAAAAAAAACTCAGGCAAATTCAAAAGGTATGAGGGAATCTTACACAAATCATAGTTTTAAATTTTTATGCCTTGTCTATTTTGGAAATATATGCAAATCCTGATCAATGTTCACAGTGGCTCGAATCCCAACCACTTTTTTCAAACACAAGTCATGTTATGTTTGCATTTATATTAACAAATGACAAAACGAAAATCACAATGTCAATACAGGGCATGAATACAAAACTACACTGGCTATGCTCAATAAATACCTCGCCTGCATTGACTGTGATGATATGGGGAGTAAAATTAGCACCTACAGAGCATGCAACCCATTCACCTAGAAGAACAAATTACCACAGCATCAGTAACCAAGACATGGGAATTCTCCTTCTGCAACAAATTCTCAATTCACAGGTCTTCAAGCAACAAAATACACCTCAAAGGTAATAGGAAAATCAATGCAGAAATTTTAAGAAATTTAAATTCAGAATTCTTACTTTAATAGAAAATCAGGTAAGACATCATATTTGGGGTGGCCTCTTGTCAATAGGAGACCCAATTGATGTGGCATAGAATACATCAAACCTTATGGTGGCATGGCCAAAGAAAAACAATTGCCATTGCCTTCTAAGGTAGCATTACCAATAAAAATATGACATGCCTGCAGCCCGTCAAGAACTTGCAAAATTGCATGATCAAAGAAAAGTCCCATGCATCAATGGCTGGTATGAATTGAGTAACAGTATAAAGATATTTGGGAATCCTTCAATCTCCAGGTAGAAGTTCTCTGTAATGGTATTTAAAGGCTCCTCAACCTGTGGGGCATGGATGTACGTAACTAACTCAAACAACCAGAAGAAAACTTCTAAGCCATCTCATAGCAAAAGAAGAGCCTCTCCAAGTACAGAATCTCCCTAGTTAAGAGAAGAGCTTAATGACCCAATTTCTAGATAATTATGGAAAGCTATTATCACGCTCCAAGCAAATGCAACAATCCTCGGAGTGGTGCAAAACCAATGTAACGTTTAAGCCACTAGATTACTCATAGGCGGGAATCTCCATTTATGGATCAGATTCAACACTGCAACCTAAAAACAGAAAGAAAGAAGGAAATTGAAGCACTGTTGCTGTTGGGGTGGGAAGATAATCGCTAAGAGCTTGGGCTGCCTAGTAGATGTGGTCTCAAGAGTTCAAACTGATGAGTTTTGTATGTGGAATAATCAAATACCAGGTAAAATGAGGAAGAATTATAGTAAACGAATAATTTCAAGCAAACCCTTTACACTTGATAAATAATATGCAAATTTTCAGCAAACCGGGAAAAAAGGAACCGACTATGACTAAAATACACTGCCAATGGCTTGTTGGAAATTGATGGTACTCCATTCCACTGATGGCCTGCTAAAAATGAAAGGCAGTGCATTTTATGGTCTCTGCTGCAATTTGCCAAAAGTTCTAAATAAGGCAGCAACAATGAAGATAGTTACATAGCTAAATGGAGAACTACAAAAAAAATTACTCCCATCTTTTCATATAATCCAGAAAATTTTATTTTAGTAAGCAACCGAGATGCCCAACTCAACCAGAGATGGTAGAGATGAGAAGTCAAAACTCGCAACTCTCTGACTAGATTGTGCAAGATCCCAATAGCCGGGCTCAATCAGGAATATGCTATGGCATTTACCAGTCACAGTTGACCAAAATTCTTATATTTCGTATGATCATGTAGGAAACTTGAGAACTTCTCAGGGGGGAAAGCCAACTTCAGCAAGTGAGCAGCAGCCCACGAAGACTAAAAAGGGCAAGTACGGCAACTAAGACAGGTCAAAACAATAGATCCAGATATTCTTGCATCCAGACCCACTTGGCAGGAAATGATAACACAAGGTAAGAATATAAAAGATAACCAAAAAAAATCCCCGGTAAATAATATCGTAAACAGAACCAGCCATAAATACGATCAAAACATGGTAACCAAAAAACTCCCTCCTTTCTTTTGGAAGCAAAGCGATGACACCTCTCTCTATTCCAATTCTGTTAACCATACAAAACACAGCACCAGACCTTTACCAGGTAACCAACCACAGTACCTACCACAAATTCTTTCCCCAAAAAAGGAACACAAGCGCCAAAATACACCCTCGTAACAGCAAGATTCCCTCGTTACCACACCGACTTACATGCCCTCTTTTCCAAACCCACTACACACACAAACACAAATATCAAGATCTCAACTGAAGCATCATTTCACAGGTCCCACTTTCACAGAACCCTTACTAAAAACCACCTAAATTTCTCTTGCATTAAAACAGACGACTGATATAAACATCAAAGATCCAAACTTTAAACCTAAAACAAGCACAAAAACCACTTAAGCTCAAATATCAAATTTCTCACCAAGATTCAAACTTCAACCACAAAACAAACACAAAACACTTCAGCTCAAAAGGAATCCATAAAATAGACAAATTTATCCATTCGTTACCTAAATTCTCCAGCTCATACTTGGCTTTGCTCAATGGCTTTATTTTCTTCTGTTTCCCAGCTGAGAAATCAATCACCGGTGGCAGCGTCGCCGGAGCCGCCGACGAAATCGGCTTCGGAGACAAGGTGACACTCCCGTCCGGACCATACTTTCTAGGCCTCCCTCTCTTCTTCTTCTCTGGCATAGACCCCGCCGGAGGCGGCGGGTGGGGCGGTGGAGCTTGCGGTGGAGCTTGAGGCGGAGCTGGTGGCGCGGATCCAGGTGTTGAGTTTGGGTTGTTGTCGGACCTGGGAGCGATTTGGTAATCTGAGGGAGCACCGGATCCCACCACTGTAACCCCACCACCACCACTAGTACTATTTACAGTTGTTTCCATTCTTAAACCCTTCAAACGATTTTTTTTAATTATATTTTGGACAAGTTTTCCTAAAAACCCATTTTGATTTTGAGCTCAAATCATCTCCAAATATTAAAAAGTCTCGATTTTTCTTGAAAATTAAACCTAAAAAATTCCTACTTTTTTAGAGGAAAAAAAAAACTCCAAAATATAAAACCCAGAAAGGAACAAAAAAATGGAAGAAAAGCTGGGGATGAGCTAGAAGAGAGAGCTTTATACAGGTAGGTTTTAATTTTAAAAAAGAAACAAAAAATTGAAAAACTTGAGATTTTTTTAGCTTAATTTTTGAGATTAGAGAGCTCCAAGTTAAGCAGAAACAGAACTTAACAGGGGTTTTAAGGAAAAAAGCAAAAAGGAAAAGAAAATTTGTGTTTTTATTTTTTATTTTTTTGTAGAGTAAAGAGAGTGATGAGAGCAGAAAGGAAGATTGGATTTCAGCTGTGAAAGTGAATTTAGATTTTTTGAATTAGTGGGGTGGTTTGATTTGGAAAATGGTTTTTTTTTTTCTGCGATAAAAATAATAGGAAAGTTTGTGTTGGTTTTTAGTTGTTGTTGAGCTAATATTGTTCCTAACTTCCCTAAGTCTGTCCGAAATGGGATTAAGAAAACAATAATAATAATAATGGCAAATCGAAATATTAAATAATAATAAAAGGCTGGCATTGATGAATATATGTGTGCGATGATTATTGGAGATTTGTATTTCATGTTATATATATTATAAAGATATTGATGTTTTGGTTGGAATCTTGTGGGAAATTAAATAATTTAAATAAAGTTGAAAGTGGGAGGGGTTTTCTTTTCTCTCTCTCTCTTTTTTTCTCAATTTTTTCTCTTTTTTTAATTCTTGATAGGGAAAGTGACAAGAGATGATATTATTGCCATCATTTTAATTACAGTTTTCTTTTCTCTTTTTAATTTTTGAGTGAATGGCAAGTAAAATTAAGCTGTCAAGAGAAGAAAAACAAAAAATGTCTGGAAAAGGGCAAAGAGGAGAGTGGATTAAGGCAAGCATGCCCCTTCTTATGGGGCCTGAATCCTGATAAGCTTCTATCTGTTACAAGCAAAACCCACAAATACACGGTGGTGTACAGTGCTGTAAATGGATAGCCCCTTGTGCATTTCATGCTTGTATTTTTGTTTATTTTTTCTCAAATCCTGGTTATATTTAGAACAGGGGCTAGTGAAGAAAGAGCTTGCAAAGCAACAAAAGATAGTACATCGATGCAATCCTCTGCTTAAGCAAAATGGATTTCATTCTCTTGTATTGTTCCCTTGGCTTGTCAATGATGCAGTGATGAAAGAGATTGATGCTGAAAGCTGTTCTCGTGTTTCTTTATTGTGCCGGGAGCGAGGATGAATTACTAGAATACCAAACCCATTATTTTCTTCCTCTCCTTTAACTGTTGCCATATTTGTTTCATATTTTCGTATGCAAAAAAAAAAAAAAAAAACCATAGCTGCTGCATGCATCCTTCTGTCAAGAACTTGTCGCCTTTGGGTAAAATTATTGGCTGCGTTATTGCTCTTTATTGCCGAACAGCGATTATCTTCGAAGTGTTTACTAATATTTGAAAAAAGAATATTATAAAGAGAAGAAAACTAGAGGGGAGATCAGATCATAATATGAGCACAATCCCGGCCCTTCCATGGGACCCCGAGATTTGACCTTTAAAAATGCTGTTAACGACAGCTTTAATATTCACAAACAAGGCTATAAAGCATCTTTTTTCTGAACTAGGGTTGGATTATCAATTACCAAAAACAAGAAAAATAAATAAACTAACAAGGTTTAGATAAGCACCAATTAATTATTAAATTGCTCGAGCATTTGAATAAATATGGTGATGACCTCGATGTATATTAACTTCCACGACTTTCTTCTTTGTTTTATTTTTTTAGCTTCTTTTCGCATGCCATGTGTATTAGTATTTTAATTGTTGGTCGGTAATTGGACCTAACTTTTGCATTAATTTATTAATTTAAGTGATGGGATAGAGAAAACTTGATTTAACAATTAAGAAATATCAAAAATTCATATAAATAAATTTCCACTTGAAGTTAGTGGTGCTTGTATTGCACGTCCATGTCAAAAAACGAAAAAAAAATGGAATCTCAAAGGAGATGGAACATTATAAATTAATCTCGTTTTCATGAAAAGAAAAATAACTTGTTTATGCCTTCCTGTACTTGGTAATTATAAACAAGAACTTGTATTATCTGAGTTGCCGGCCCTCCATGTAATGGCGGGTTATCGGCTTGACAGTGTCGCAACTCTTGGAAAAAAATACTCACTGGCAATATATATATATATATATATATAGATGGATATATAGTTAAATCTAACCTAGTTACACTTGAAATCGTTGCCAAATTTAGACAAGCTTGTGTTTTGGAAGCGTAGTCAATGTAAGTTGAAATAACAGTCAAATGAGGTGTTGCTATCTAGGTTGGATCTTGATGAAAATGTGTCTTGACTCTAGATTAATTAATGGAGAAAGAGAGAGACACAAGGTTGCTGCGATGGAGTATAAAATCACATGTGCATATATCAGGCTTTTAATTTCTAGGGTTTTCACGCATTGATCAACTCCACAGAAAGAAGAGTGCTGCCATGCCCTAGTCTATCCATGGTTTGGCTCCTCGTCCTGCGTGGTGGTAGAGGTCTCAATCCAAAGCTTTTTTAATCAGTTCATGATCTACATCCGAGTTTAATTAATTAATTGTTAGAGACACGATCAATTTCGCAGTTCTTTTTTGTTCTTGGTGAATTAAGATCATTTTCTTTGTTATTATTATTTTGAAAATTAAGATATTATCAAAGTCAACAAACTACTGCTTTGAACGAGAAGCAAACAAATTATAAAAGCCATGAGCTCCCATGACTTGTCCAATTGGTTGTTGTTATTATTTTAAGAGCCGTGATTCTACAAGTTTTGTGAGAAAATGCATGAACCTTCAGGCAAGGAAATTAAATTTTCAAGGGCAAAAAAAGTCTCTGATGATTTTCATAAAGGTTTGAGTCCTGCCAAAAACCTATATGGATACGCTGGACGTAATACATGCTGAGAATTGGAAATAGCTAGCTTTGCTGCCTCTCATTTTCTCCTACCAAGATTGATAGCAATTAGCTCCAAGAATTGTCGGTCATTACTCCATGTGTTCTTGTGTAGATCCCATACTTGTAACTCCATGTGTTCTTGTGTAGATCCCATACTTGTAACCTACGATCACGCAATGGAGAAATTGCAATCTTCGATTGTACAAATGGCAAAGAATGAGCCCACGCCGCCAGTTTGGACTTCATCACTGCAAGCACACCATTTTTCCCTGATAATCCCGAAAGGCCGGTTTGTTAACTGGAGGCCAGCCCAACTTTATTTCCCATTCCTGCCGGTATTGCTTTGTGCTAGATAGGTGCCCCGCGATTTCCCTTGCTAGCCAAGTTGATCTTGTTTGTAATTTAAAACTTTTCAAGTGTTGTTAGAGTTTTTAAGAACTCAATTCTCGGTAATTTAATATAGAAGATTAAGATTAAAAAAATTAATTTAAAAATAGAATGAAAAGCCAAAAGGAAAAAAATAATTAAAAAAATAAAGAATAAATTTGATATAAAACAAATATAAAAGCATTGAATTAATCTAAATTAATATAAAAAATCTCGCAACACGGGTCAAAAAACTAAAATACTCTCACAAGAAATAAAATAAAATAAAATAATTGAACTTTTAATAAATTCGTGGGATGGGTCTTTGATTATTATATTGAATATAAGTTCTCCATGTTAGAAGTATAGAATAAATATCTTCTAAGATGAAAAACTTATTAAGATAAGTGACTATAAAAATAAAAAAATTATATTCTAAACAAAGTTTATCAAGTAAATATATGACGATATTATCACATATTAAATGTTGTTTGGTAATAGTCATCTTGAATGTAAGATATTTGATTGTCATGAAAGAATCACGTGTAGATTGACTTCCTTTTCATGTAATAAAGAGTTGAAAGCGAACTTATATTACGTTAGCATGAGCAATGGCAGAACTAGAATAGGTCAAGACGAGGATTTTGTCCTTTTAATGTTTTTTTTAAAAAATATTTTTTATATTAAAATATTAATATAATAGTTTTACAAGGTTAATTTTTTTTTGTTAGTTATTAATAGATCCAGACTCTCTTTTTTTTCATTATTGTCCCTGCCTCTCTTTTTTTTTTAATATTTATGTTTAATCAACTTCTACAAAACAACAAGTCAATAAGAACAATATCAATTTGACTATATGTCAGTATAGAATCGTTGCCAAGAACTTTTCTATTTCTTGGAAGATTTAGAAATAAATAAATGAAAATTTGTTGTATATATTAAGAAAGATATTTTTAATGAGATTAAAAATAAAATCATTATGAAGTAATTTTAAAATATAAAATCTTAAAAAGAATAATTAATTTTTTAAAAAATATTTTACTTATTTATTTTAAATTAATATATTTTTAATATTTTCAAATTATTTTAATTTATTAATGTTAAAAATAATTATTTTAAAAAATTATTAATATATATTTTAATATAAAAAATTATTTAAAAAACAACCTTGAATAAACTAAATGAAATTTCGTGGGGCAGACATTTTGAAGATGATTAATTAGACGTGAGTATTATGCAACTCTACTACCATACAAGGAGAGAAGAATACATAATGTAAAGGGTTTTATAAATAGACTATTTATAACCTTCTCCTCTGCATAAGCTATTTGAAAGTCAAAAAATAATATTACAATGTTACCAAACAAATCAGTTAACCTTAGCAAGCAGTTTGAGTTTTGAATTCTATTTCCAACAACGCAGAACAACAGGTAATTAATCATGTTTGAGATATTGGAGTAAATTGTTGTGACTCATCCTTCAAAAAAAAAAAATGATTTAGAGTAAAGGTATAGTTACTGAGCAATTAGTAAAATTTCAAAATTACATTTGATATTTTGTGAAAATTATTCGTATGTTATGGAATTTATTTTTTTTAAAATAAATTTTGTTGAAAAGATGAAACCATTTTTGTTAATATCTTGGTAAATATAAAGAAATCCAGGTTGTGAAATGAAAAATAAATTCTTTCTTTTTACTTTTAAATTTATATAAAATTAACACTAATAAAAATATCATTTTTTTTAAAAATAATTACTGTGAAAAAAAATTAATAACCAACTCGGGTCGATTGATTTATTTTTTTCTTTTCATTTATTAAAATGACCTCTATTAAGTAAACCTCTAGCTTGGACCCAAGGATCGAGCCTCTCAAAACTCTTGGGCAAAAATCCAGGTCATAAAAATTATGAAACCTTTCTGACGGCCCATGAATATTATAGGTAGTAAGCTAGCCCATTTATAGTACCTTTAAGACGCCTCAGCACTCGTAACGTTGGATTTGTGCTCTTACTGAATACAGCCCTAACTAAATTACAGTGCAAGACTTTAGGCCAGTGATCGCTGCCCAATCTCCTAGAATCACTCCTGGTTTAGCCTTTTTGCCAAACAAATGGGCTATAATTCTTTTTATTTTTTTATTTTAAATTAATATTTTTTTTAGTGTTTTTATATATCAAAAGTAATTTTTAAAAATAAAAAAATATTATTTTAATATAATTTCAAATAAAAATCACTTTAAAAAACAATAGTTATAATATTCTCAAAAACCTCTAATCATCGATTTTAAACGAAATCTTTAACTATTTCTTTGTTAACTTTGTAATTTGCTGAGAAACTCTTTGAAGTGTTTCATTGACATTATTTTGTGAGATAATATATCATTGAAGTTTTTTTTTTTTTTTTGTTCTTGCCATTAAAGATTTCATTTGTTGGCTCTCATCATGTTTATCCAACATATTTCAAGCATTCATGGAGTCAACTTATCAATGGCCAGCTCGAAAACCCTCGAGGTGAACTCACCAATATTATTATTAACTGGACTCGAAAAACAATAGCTGTTTGAGCTGACTGACTGGTTCGATTCCTTTCAAAAGGAGGCAACAGGAGTCCCTACTTGACACAAAAAACATTAGCATGTGCCATATGATAACCAGCTAGGGTAGAGGGAAGCCGATTTTTGTAGCATAATTCGATGGTTTCAACTACTGGCCAGTTAGGATCTTTCTACAAGGCCTCATTTAGACGACCAGGCATCGATCCTTTAAGAACATTCCATCAACACGCCGTCTTACATCATCAGTTGGAAAACTCAACGGCACATTCATGAGCATGTTACAACTAGAAAAGGACGAAAGCAAGCCATTTGGATAGATTCCAGTTACAAACACTAGCAGAACATTTTAGTTCCCAAGATTCTTACATAAACAATCTGTCAATAAG